TACAAACACACCTAACGTAATGTTCAACCTCGTTTGTCTTGTTTTAAGCGTTTGAGGCATTTGCAGTTCAATATGAATATCTTCAAAGCAAGTATACACAAGTTTCAAATGCTTAAAATTTTAACAGCACCAGCTCAGTTACACTTTGTTGCGATGGCAGCCCCTCTTGTATCACAAGCTGCAGCGAGTTCGCAAGACAGTCCAGGTTAGTGACTCCCAAATCATCCATTGCTTTTTTTGTCTCGCAGTAGCGTGCACTTTAAGTGGGATGGTCCATTAAACGCTACTCCCACCTCTCAAAACTTTATTTTACAAAGACTGCAAATCGCTGTGCTACTGGTTTCTGTTAAAACCGTAAAATACTCCCAGATCGTCACGTCTTATCTTATACTCCTCGTACTGCGAAGGGTATGCGCATGACATCACAGCAGGTGGAAGTCACTGTACTTACACCCACTGAGTAGCAAAAAAGACTGAGGGGCAGCGTTAGCGTTCAATTTGAATGCCGCAAACACATGTAAAATGGGAAAGAGCTGTCGTGCGACTGATTGTACAAATAGATTTAACACGAAATAGGACACATCTTTTTAGAGATTGCAAAAACTAAATAAGTATAGGACATGGATCGGTCACGCATGGCCGATACCCGATCCGTCAAATAGGTCTGGATCGGCACCGAATATCGGATCGGTGCATCTCTAGTTTACAGGCTACAGTGACACTTAAACTCAAATGGGTTAATTATACAGTAGTTCGAATACTAATTTTTCACATCATGAATATTCAGTTAAAATGTGACAGCTCTATCCAAAGCACAAAGGTTATTTAGCCCATCTGCTGGAAAGGTAGAAGTTAGCTAGAAGTTAGAACCACCAGGCTAGGGTAACGAGGAAATGAGCACTTAACTCACAAACACAGCAATGATGTAACGCCAGGTCCCACTGTAGTCCATTAACAAACAAACCCTTCTGACTTGGGTACACCCTAAAACTACAGGAAGGAGCTCTTTGAATTCTGCCCTACTGCTATGATATGCAGATGCACAGGCAGAGCCTTTCACCTCTAAAGGAGTTTTAAAACGGATGTATTAATACTGATTTAGTTAAAAAAAAAAAAATGCACGGCATTATGATTTTACCCATCAAGATCAATAACGTTTCAGGATTTTCCCCACTCAGAGTATGCTCAGCAAGAATCAATGTTCCTAAATCAGCCATGCAGCAAACACAGACTCGCCTAAACATGCACCAACCTTACTTTGGTGTGCATTAAGCAAAGAAGCTTCAGAATATGGCTATATTTGCAGCATTTTCACAAGTTGGCACAAGCAATCTATTATTTCTGAAAAATATAAGGGGCCAATTATCAGGCCAATGGACCCTAAACTGCACAGAGATTGTTGCAAAGACTCAGGAGAATGAAATAAAGCTGTTTCCCTTAACAAAACTGATGACTATCAAGACAGATGACTATCAAGGGACAATATGTGATCCCAGGTTAATAATAATAATAATAATAATAATAATAATAATTGATACTTTATTACGTTTATTACGTACTTTATTAGGTAAGCAGTCATGCAGTGAATGAATATTGCAACCTAAGGATTCTCCAGCACCATAGTAATCATGACTGCAACAAACAGAGTTCATGATTAATTCAGAGTAGAGGTGTAATGTAGGGTTGGGCGACGTTTAAAATGAACGCATGTGGTTCCAAGCCATGCAGTTTATTTTATTCAGCTGAAGAAAAAGCCTGAAAAAATAACACATGGATGATGCACTAAACAGCCAGCATTAAAACCTGTCAACTGGGTTGGGGGGTGGCATAGAGGTGCTGACCATCCCTTCTAGTCTCTGTGGAAAATGATCAATCAATGGCATCTAAAAACACACAGCTTGCCATCTAAAATGGTTCACAAATTTTTTAAAACCACGCACCACCACAGAAAGTATTACAGTCTCCGCGTACTATTATGACCTATGTTTACATACACCGACAAGGATACACTAGACCTTCGTAATGTGCCATTTGCCTCACTTGTATGTTATTTTGGACAAAACAGTCTGCTAAATACATATGGATACAGTCACTTATCGTATAAGGAATTAAAAAAATCAAATCCATGTGTTTTTCTAAACTGCGTCGGAAACATAGGCTAGGCCTAAGTCTACTTCCCTGACTAAGGCCATAATCGGTTAATCATTTAAATACCGGCACAAAGTTACTTTTCTGATGTTGTCATTTACCAATATCATCATCCGGTCACACAGTTCTGAAGAGGCGTTGAATCAATTATTAAGCTGGGGATTCAGCTGCTGGGCACAAAATCCTCCATAAAGATCATTAAAAGCTTGGGTGACCCAAATGGGTTTCAGGAAACCCACTGATGAAAAACACTAATCAATTACAAAAAGACAAGTTCAGGTAAACGTATTCAAAATCTGGTCCTGATATTCAGGTAATGAAATTCAAGCTTCGGTTAACATTCAAATTCGGGTACATAAATACAAATTCAGGCTGTGGCGAGTGATTTGATGCCATACCTATGACAACCAACACACGGCACGAGACTGAAGTACAACTTAAACAGGATACCAATCCATCCGGGGATCTGAACCCACAATCCACCGAGTGACTCCATCTCAATAACTGAACATTGAATGTTGTCCCGCTTTAAAAATACCAAATTCTAAACAGTGGGAACGTTAAATTTTATTGATTATCAAATGGTAAATTTATCTGTCTAATCTGACCATGACTTCATAGCAGGGCTCTAGACAGCGACCATTTTTGAAGACAATGCGACAATTTTAAAACTAGGCGCACCAATGCGACTTGCCCCCCCCTTAAAAAAATCGCATATCACGTGAAACACCAGAAGGCAGCGAAGACTGGCGTGTAGGGCTGGGTATTGAGAACCGGTTCCTAATTAGTAGCGGTTCTATATTTTTAAGCACCAGGAATTCCATAAGACATTTGAATTTCGGTTCCAGTTATCGATTGGTACACTCACATCTTTCATCAATTATGTAAGGGTTAATGCACGACAATTCCGAAACATCGAGCAGATCTACAAATGCACAACAGAAACAACAGACAAGAGGACAATCCCTGCAGGACAGCCTAGCCTAAACGTGTCAACAATTACAAGGGAAGGTGGCCGCTACATGTTTTACGTTTCACCACGGTTAAAGTTACTATAATTTCGATTGGGTGCTGCATAGTTTTATATGCAGAAACGCTTACTGCCGGAGAAAAAAAGATACGTAACTCTTTATAATTATGTGTAGGGTTCGTATTTATAAATAGGTCTCCGAAGGCGCCGTAACTATAGAAATACCGGTGTTTGGCGCAGAGACAGGCGCCCGGCTCCGCCGGGGCTCCGCGGGATCTCCGGCGGACTGCCTGCCCCCCCAGTCGTGGACGGAGCACAACACCCTCTCCATCTAGGCTCCGACCACGACAAAAGGCCACTTTAAAAACATGAACATGACGAACCAAAAATCAAAATTACAAAGGAAGGTTAAACTGGAGTAGAACAGCTGGAGCTTGTAAATCCACCGGGAGGTTTCTGTCAACTTATCAGTGCTGGATAAAACTACTAACTAGAGAAAAATAATAAAACAGCGCAATATACACGATGAGCTGTCCATAAACAGCCATAAACGTGACTTCGATCCCGAAAGCCAAAATGTGCCCTGTCAGCGTACCCTCTGGGACATTAGAAGTTATACTAACGTTGAAAAATTAATTATATCTCTGCCGGACGGAACCGTGCAAAAAAAAACTTACCTCACAAACTAGAAACACTGATATGTTTTAAGAGAAGGAACCGCTTTTCCGTGCGCAGCTCTCCAGTCACTTCACCACGTAGAGATGCCGACACCTCCGCACATAGACTGTACAGCTCTGACGTCGCTCTTGAATGTTTTGGCAGAAAGGATGAATTAGACTGGCGGTCAACGTTTCGTTTCGATTGGCCCGTTTTCATCATCTGTAGGGCATTCAGCCAATTGTGTTCGAGGTTGGTGCGTTTTGTAACGAAGCGCTACGGAGCGCCCTTTCACTGGCACTTGTGACTTGAGAATCACCTGACTCTCCTCGCCCACCTTCACTACGCTACGTCATCGACATCGCCGTCGCAGACCCACACGTAGCAAAAACAGGACGTTATAATAAATGTGAAACGCAATATTCTTCTTTTCGAATCATACCTTTCATTGATCGTTTTTGTGTAAAAATTCAGTTTTGGTTCGTATTTTTGTAGTTCATTGTAGTGGATGTTTTGTTTTATCAGTTGCTTTTTTAAAAGAACATTTCCAAACGAGGTTATTTTGAAACTTTGAATTTTAGTGAGTTACAGATCATCCGTATGAAATCAAAAGCTTACTGTTTTTCTTTTTACCCTATTGTAATGGGGCGGAGCTACGTGGGGGGCACTGCCCTCCCCCTGGTTAAAGCTTGGCGCCCCTCCGTTGCCGCAGCAGTTCGAAGAAAATTGAAAAGTCATGACTGCAGACCATCTCGAAAAAATAAAGCGATCGCCTCGCCCTTTACACTCATTGACCTAGCCAGGTAGTGCAGGAAAGTGTACGGCTCTGATAGGCTACTTTTTTAACGAGGGAACGCCCACCTAAGCGGAAGGCAGCAGCAGCGGGAGAATTCGAAGGCATTGCACAATGACTGCTGTCTGTTAAAACCAATGCCACAAGAATGTTTCTAGCTAGCCACGATAAAAATAAGTGAATTGATTATAGTTGAAACAACAACAATTATCTAATGTAATTTAAAATGCTGAAATTTGTGTTGCACGGGATACCGGTACGGAAAAACACAGAGGTATCACATTAATTTAGTTCCGGTACTAATGACTCTATTAGTGATGTCACTAACACTTTTTTCCAAACCATATTCAACTGTTTAAATGTAACACATATTCCTACATGATTACAAGAGGCCAGTGGTCAGCTCACTGTTACGACACCAGACTACTGAAATTGAGTGGCCAGTTTGAAATTGATGTCAATTTGAAAAATGGATAAAGGCAACTGCTCTTGGTCGTCACTAAATAAGCCGTTGGTTTGACTGAAACCAAAGCAATAAGTGGCGCGGAGTGAGTTAGCATTTTGTCAGAAGCGTGACAGTGGACTTTTACCAGGTGATATCAACGAAAGAAAACTTGGGTAACAAAATGAAGTAACAATAAGTATAAAAATATACTATGCATAAAAGTCCATGTTAATAATTAACTTTTAATACCCCGTAATTAGACACTTTTTATTTTGTTTTTTGGCGCCCCCTGCCAACCAGTTGACGTTTGGCTTAATTCTACGCCTTAATATTCCGTAGGTGAATACGTACAATATTCTTAAAAAGGATCAAGGGCGGAGTGATTAGCGGGGATCTGATGACGATTACCGACCGGTCGAGCTGCCCTGCATATCCTTTCAATTTTCATAAACAAATGCAAACGCATATAGTAAATGAATAAAAAGACGACCCTCCTCCTCCTCGCGCGCTTGTGTCCATCGCGGAGAAAAGGTGTAACTAAACTCGCGGGTTTGGGCCGTACCCGATCCAATGAAGGTAAGTATCACTGATCTCGAAACTGACATTCAGTGCCTGCCCAACCCTAAGAATTACATAACAATAGTGGTGTAAAGTGACGAAGTACACATGCTTTTCCGTTTTTATTTTAACTAAAAAAAATAAGTGCCACACATGTGTTTGGGGGTGTTGGACGACCTAATATTATCGTTTATTTTGATATTTTAAAACTAAAACATCGCATATTATTTATTTTAGACATGAAAAAGCATGCAACAATGAAATTTGCAGTTGGGTTGTATGGAACGGTGTTGAAGTGGTTTAAATCATACTTAACTAATCACTATCAATATGTTAAATTGTCAGATACTTGTACTCCATCGTCAATGTTACAGGTCAAATACGGAGTACCACAGGGATCAGTGCTTGGTCCTTTATTGTTTTTCCTCTACATTAGGAAACATAATAAGAAAACATAATGTTAACTATCACTCCTATATAGACGACACCCAAATATACATTTTGGGTTATGCCTAAGGACACCACACCTATTGTCACCTTAGCTAATTGCTTTAACGAAGTCAAAACCTGGATGGCAAAAAACTTCTTATCACTAAATGCTCAGAAAACCATGGTTCTGTTGTTTGGCGGCAGGTCTTGTTATGGAACCGGGCGGGTTTGGTGCGAGGCTGAGGCATGACAGAAGGTGGACGAAGGTGGCTGTTCGTGCTGCTGTACATGTTATTTTTATCTACAATGCTTGTCTGTTTATTTGTCAACGCATGTTCCGCCCATCCATGCTCTCTACCTTCCCACATGTTCGGGTGGTGCCCGGGGTGGGCACCATCTGAGCTGCAGTCCTGGTGAAGACCCATGGCAGGGTGACATCGCAAATGGGTTATACAAACTGCATCATCATGGGTGGAGATTTCAGTGTCACCCAACACAGCTCAACATGGAGAAAAGACCTTGGCCACCCCTCAGAGGCCAACATGGATAACAGACTCATTGATGGACTTTGTCTTCATTCTTAATCCCAGCATATACCTTCCTTTTAGCAAGCATGTCCACTCTTTTCTGTTTTCGGTAATGTTAGTCTGCCCGGGGAAGGGGGGGGGGGGGGGGCCCC